CAATAAAGCTCTTGCCCTCATTTTTTCTTCACTTGCTCTGCCCATGACTGACCCTGGTGTTTCCTCATGTGGCCCTGTGTGTCATGCTGTACTTTCTGTTTCTAGGTATCTGTGATTATAAAAACTTATTTCTTCATGACAGTCATTTTTGTGTCAGTATAGCTTACCATACTTGATTAAACAAGTACTTTTAAAACTGGGTACTTTTAAAACACTAATTAAAAAAGAAAAGAAAAAGAACACTAATTCATTTACACTTAAAGTAATTATTGATAGGGAAGGACTTACTTCTGCCTTTTTGCTATTGTTTTCTATGTATCTGTACCTTTTTTGGTCCTCAGTTCCCCATTACTGCACTTTTCTGTGGTTAATCGAATTTTTTTCTTGTGTACTCATTTGATTCTGTCATTTCCTTTTTGTATATTTTTAAGTTTTTTTCTTTAGTGCTTTCCCTGGGGAAAACAATTTGGAACACATTTCTCTTTTATATAACAATACCAAATTTATTTTCAATACAAGAACTCTATTTTTTATAGCTCCATCCCCCTTTATGTTGTTATTGTTACAAATAAATATATTTTTACCTAGTGTGCATATTAACATAGTTTTATAATTTTTAATGCATTTGTCTTTTAAGTTATATGGAAAAAAAGAGGAGTTACAAGCCATATATGCAATATTACTTGCTTTTATATTTTCCTGTGTAGCTATCCTTACTGTTGTTTTTTATTTTCTCATATGACTTTGACTTACATATCTTGCATTCCCTTTATTTCAGCTTGGAAGTCTTGTAAGACTTGACAGAGGTTAGTAAATACAGATGCAAATGAATCTACCTTCTATTGTATAAATGTACATTAAGTTATTCAACCAATTCCCCATTAATTAACATGAAATTATTTCTATGTTTTGCCACTAAAAACAATGCCGCGTGCAATGAACATGCTTGTATACATACTTTTATTTTTATAGATTAGATGCCTGAAAATAAGTTTGCTTGGTCAAAAAGAATGAGTTTTTTTACATTTCCTAGACTCCCTTGCACATATGTTGCGGCTATAGAATGTAAGACACTTCTAAGGCTTATAAACAATCCCAGGTGATCCTTCTGCTATCCTTTTGGTAACCTTGGAAACCATGTATGCCATCTGGAATACCAGACTACAGGACAAATGCAGTCTAGATTCCCAAAAAAATCAATGGAGCAAAGCCATGCACGAGAGCCAATAACTTTCACTGAAATTATGGCATGAAAGAGTAATCAAGTGGTTTTAAAATACGGATTTTGCATTTTAAAAAAATTAAGCATAGTCTAGTCCATTCTAAGCATTTAAACTAAAGGTTATCATAGTGAATCAACTGTCTTATTGCCTTTATTCAGTGATATTCCTGGAGATGCTTCAATATAAGAATGGCATTCTCTTTTTTTAAATTGTATTTTATTTCTTTTTTAAAAAATTTTACTTTAGGTGTATACTGTATCCAGCATTTCTCCCCATGTTATCCCTCCCCACCCTCCGCACCCTCCCCACCCCCTGTTGTCCCTCCTCTATCCCCTCAACTGCCCCAGTGTGTGATGCTCCTCTCCCTGAGTCCACATGTTCTCCTTGTTCAACACCCAGCTATGAGTGAGAACATGCGGTGTTTGGTTTTCTGTTCTTCTGTCGGTTTGCTGAGAATGATGGCTTCCAGATTCATCCAGGTCCCTACAAAGGACACGAACTCATCGTTTTTTATGGCTGTGTAGTATTCCATGGTGTATATGTGCCACATTTGCTTTGTCCAGTCTATCATTGATGGACATTTGGGTTGGTTCCAGGTCTTTGCTATTGTACACAGGACTGCAATGAACAAACTTGTGCCTGTGTCTTTATAGTATGACGGTTTATAGTTCTTTGGGTATATACCCAGTATGGGATTGCTGGGTCAAATGGAATTTCTATTTCTAGATCCTTGAGGAATTGCCACACTGTCTTCCACAATGGTTGAACTAATTTACACTCCCACCAACTGTGTAGGAGTGTTCCTATTTCTCCACACCCTCTCCAGCATCTGTTGTCTCCAGATTTTTTAATGATGGCCAAGAATGGCATTCTCTTTAACAATTGCATAGTTTTTCTTTGTATAGATGAACCACAGTTTGTTTTACTATTTTCCTGTTGGTATCTTAGTCTGTTTTCAGTATTTTGGCTCTTAAAAACAATGCCTCAGTAAACATCATCTTTCCTGTGCACATCTGTAAATATACCTGTACAGTAATTCAATGTAATGGAAGTGCTGGGTTGTATAGTCTGCACATATTTTTACTGGCTTATCTTTTTCTTTTCCATTTCTAAAAGCCATTGGGATGTTAGGGATATTTTCCCATTATCTGTCACGGTATTGTAAATATTTCTTCTCAGGCAATTTCTTGTCCTTGCACCTTTTATATTTTTTCCTTTATAAACTCTGGGTTTCTTTCTTGCTTAAGAAGATAATCACTCTAACTAGATGGTAAATTTTTTTCTTGATTTTTATTGTGATATTTCGTTTTTATTTTTCATATTTTTATATTTAATCCACTTTGGATAATTCTTGTGTATGTGGGGGTGTAGGAATCTATGTTCATTTTTCTTCTGATTGAACAGTCCATGATGCTTGATTCTTAGGTTAACTTTTTTTGTCAAATACGCAAAATCCTTAAGTAAATATGCATATAGCTAAACATTTGCTCATAACTATGATTACTTTCTTAGGACAAATTCAAAGCAGTAGAAAGAAGTTAGGTGGTGGAATATGAAAAATAGACAGCATTTGGAACTTATTGTGAATAGAAGCACAAAAGTGGATGCCATTATTTACTCTCTATATCTGCAATAAATTATCATTATCATAAGTAAACATCTGTTTGCCGATTTGATAGCAATATCTTGTCATTTTATTGTTTCTTTTTAAAATTGTCTTATTGCCTCCTAGTAAAGCTAAATAATGTTTATTCTCCAAATAGATTTATTTGGGTACTTTATTTATATGGGTACCCTATTTATGTCCTTTCCAGAATTTTTAGGGTATAATACCACCATTTTACTTTTTAGGAGACCTTAATTATGAATTATTAACCAGTATGGTCTTTGGTTATAAAAAGACTCCCTCTATACAGCCCAGATGAAACAAGGTCTATGATATTTATCAGGAAGTAATGGAGACCATGATTTCATGGGAACGCCAAAACAGAGATTCCAGGGTAAAATGCACAGAGATTCTGTCGCAGTGTGTTGGCAGGAGTATGTGTGCATATGGAGAGATGTGTGTCAGAATTTTGCATTTATTTTTATAAGAGATGTGGTGTTGCTATGTTGCCCAGGCTGAAATGCAGTGGCTATTCACAGGAGTGATCATTGCACACTACAGCCTCAAACTTTTGGGTTCAAGTGATCCTTCTGCCTCAGCCTCCTCAGTAGCTGGAACTACAGGTATGCACCAGCTTGGGTAGAATTTTGCATTTTAGAAGCACTCTAGATGATTATAATGAAAGAAGATGACTTTTTGAGAGTGGCCAGCTATTTACCATTAGAATAATTTTATAGATGAATTTGGGGAATAATCCCTTCTTACTGGGCTCCTTTAAAAATATAAGTTATATTGTGTGGGATCTGCACTAATACAAAAAAATATGTAAGTTACAGTTTCTAGAGGAGTTATTGCAAATTTAATGTAATCAGAAGTAAAACTAGGCACTATAATTCTAATTAAGTAAACATTTATTAAATGCCCACTGTATGTTAATAAGACTAATCAATAGAAATATAATGAAAAAATATGATGTAGTCTTTACTTTGATATGCAAAATGTAAAACATCCTGTTTAGAAATAGTGCTTGAATTTATATATATTTACATATATATGCTTTGTAAGACTATATATACTAATTTATATTAAGACTATATATTCCTATGTACTTTTATATACTTATATAAAATAGATAATACAGATTTTTATATATTATATATACTAATATATATAAAGACTATATTTATATATGCTTATATATTAGTCTTACAAAGCATATATATTAAGATTAGTATATATGTATTAGTATATATGTCTTACAAAGCATATACATTTATATATGTACATACACATATACACTTATGTGTGTGTACACACACACACACACACACACACATACACATCTTAGTCTCATGAAGCATTTTTGCATGTTTCCAGGGGAGAAAAAATGAAGAGCAGGGATTTGATTTTAGATTTGTTTCCTGTATCACATTGTGCAATTTACATGTCTTCCAAGACTATTCTGAATACAGTAAGTCTTGCCAGGAGCCTTCGGGAAGAGATCATCTCACAAGAGAAAAAATCTCATTCCTTAGACTTAGAGCAGCAACTCTGACTACAGCATGATGCCTTTGACTCAAATTTATACCCCAGTCCAAATCCCAAATGGACTCATCACATCTGACTCCTATGGAGAGGGTCTTGTGATTGAAAACAGAAGGGGCTGTTTTACTAAGGGCTCTGAAAGACACTGTGGCCCAAGCAACCCTAGAGAAGTCCCACTCGTGTTAAGTGTCACTATAAAGCAGAGAAGCTTTAGAAGACAGAGTGAGAATTCAACCCCTTGAGGACTCCAGGGGACTCCGTGGGGTTTTGGCCCTCAAGAACTGCAGTGCACCAGCAGGAGTGGGGCCAGCAGAGAGCACAGAGCCCAGTAGAAGAGGCAGCAGTGTTGGGCAGATTTGGCAGGACCCAGGGGAGGAGACAGGGCTCAATGGCAGAGGACCGATAGGGAAGCCCCCACCTCTGCTACTGGACTTGTTCCTGAGTACAAGTTGAATCATACCAAGTCCTCCCTCAAGTGATTGGTGCTTCTATAGTGGGTTGGGGTTCTATACGCACAGGGGGAACAATATCCCGCTGAGCACAGCTGTTACTGCCTCATTTCCTCCCCACAGCAGCCCTGTGAGGCAAATATTTTCCCCATGAAAAGACTGAGTCTTAAACATATGTATCTGTGATAATTGCTAGTTTATTCCTCTGGCTAAGAGATCCAGAGGTAATTGGAGGTTTACATTTCATTTTTATGCTTCTATTATTGAGAGTTTATTAAGTGTTTCATTGCCTTCCAAAGGTGATTGATAAGTTATTTTACTGTGTCTACTTTAGGGTTTTTTTGTGACACAAGTAATATACACACATAAACATATATTCAGTTTTTGGCAAGTGAGAAGATGGAGATAGGCAAAAAGAAAAAAGAGATCACAAAGAGATTCACTGTTAACCTTTGGTGTATAGTAAAATCAGACACTTTCCTTTGTATAATGTCACATAGAAATGTACAAATAAAGTGTATATATATATATATATATATATACACACACACTATATGTATATACTTTTGCAACTCGTTATTTTTACTTTGCAATATACAATGAACATTTTACCATGCAAATGAATGAGACCTCTTATTAAATGAATAAGATTGGGTCAAAAGATGAGATGTTGACAGGAGTCATATGTAAATCTCAGCAACGTCGAAGGATTGGAGTAAAATGATAGCAAATATTTAACAAGAAAATACACACAAACAGAAAGCAGTGGCAACATTAATAACAGAAAATAATGACTTGTCAGGGAAATGAATTACATGGGATAAGGGCGGTCCCGAGAATGCCTATGGTTAGAATGCAGAGCCCTAAATTTCTTTCTCAGACCCCTTATCTCTTCCAAACACCTTTCCATCTCGTCTCCCTCCCTTGTCATTTCTTCATCCTTAAAATGCCTATAGTCTATGTCCTCTTTAAATTCTTCGAGAGATTGAAGCAGCCTCTGTCTAAAATTCCCTTCCGTTTGCTGGCGTTCAAATTCTCCATAGGGGCGTTCTTCCTCCCTCTTTGGCACGCTGCACTTTGGCTTTCCTTCATTTTCTTTGCAGGGCTTTTGCATGATGTTGTTGTTGTTTCCTGCTTAATTCCAGGGAAAAATGGAAAGACTAATTGCTTTGTTACTTTTGAATCAGGGTTGTCAGTTTCTCTCTGAGGCAAGATACTTGCCTAAATTCCCATCCCTGTCCCACAGGTCCAGACCTCAAGTCTGCCGCAGCTCCCTCCACCCTCACATCTCCCTCTTTCCTCCCCTCCCACCTCAGGAACCCACCACTTCCCCAGAAGACAAGGCGAATGGCATCTCCAATGGGCGAGAGAGGGGAAGCAGAAACTAAGATGGACCGTGAAGCCTCAAATTTCGCCTAGCTTTTGCCCTTCACGACTCCCACCCTCAGAGATCTCAGACTAAGTGCCTCTTTCACACTGACCTGTGCGGGATCGTTTCCTGCTCTTTTTCTTTCCCCCAGACGTCTATGAACGCAGACTCTGAGACCTGCAAACAAAAAGGAAGGGGCGGGGAAGGCTATCTGTGGATCAACCAGCCCCAGAGACATGACAGATGTTATTATTTTGAACCTGGGATTCTCATCATCACCGTCATCGCCCCCAGATATCTACCTCCTGGTCCCTCCTTCCTGTCTCTATCCTTTCCTTCAGGATTTCTGTTACCACTCCCCACTCCTGACCCTCAGGCCTGGGCCTTGCAAGGCCCGCGTCTCCCTCCTTCTCCCCATCCCGAGACCTACCCCATCAACACAGGCTGGCGTTGGTATTGAGGGAGGCGAACTATTTTCAAATGATCTCTAAATTTCTTTTGTCTCTATCCCGGAATTTCGGCCTTTCTCCACCCATCAACCCACACCCCAGGACTAAAATTTTCCCTAACAAAATTGGAGAAAGACTGGGAGAAGGATAAAAAGAAAGCATGCCAAGGTGAGAGAAGCCGGTTATTTCTGAGCTATCACTAAATCTCTGGGTGTCTCTCAAAAGATTTCGACCTACCCCCTTGGTTCCCCCCTGCGAAAGATACAATCTCCGACTATTTTTCAGGGGTTTGACAAAAGCGAGCCTGGACCTATTTCAGTCATTAGATCCACCCACTACTGACCCAGGGTTCCTTCAGTCCAACCTGCTGGGATTTAAGGAATTTACCTCTTCCTTCCCTTGGCAACAAGCACGCACGCTCGTTTGCAGGGCAGTAAAGAGCTGGTACCCAGAGGAGAAAGAAGCCCGGGAATATAAGGACTTCGGTTCCCGTCAGCTCGTGATCACGTGAGGATTATGTCATTCCCCCATCTCTGGTCCCCACTTTCCCCTCCCACCGGCAGCGCTGCAGAAGTGGACCGGCTTACCAACTCCCACCCCCCATCACACCAGGCCCTGTCACTCATTTTTGTCTTTGCTAATTCCAGAGGTCAAAAGTGGCCCCTTCTCCCTGTGGTCAGAATTTGATTTTCTCAGATTACCAGGGAGAGACTGCATTTTCCCAAAGTTATATTAACCATTGTTGTTCTTTTGTGGCTGTGCTGAAAGGATTACTTATCCTTTTATAAGACATAAGAAAAGAAAAGTGGCAGTCTTTCCTCCACCCAATCTCCCCTCAGCCACTAATAACCATCATTTCCCTTGCAGTCCAATCCTTGAAAACAGATTGGAGGGAATGGCGTGAATTAGGAAAGGAGGTAATGATTTGGATTGTGTCTCTTACTTTTGTTTTGATAATTTCTTATTCTTCTCCAATTTTTCCATACACTTATATACTTTTAATAATCAGAAATATGATAAAGATATGTACCTTTGGAAAAAGATTCAAGATAGGAGGATAAAAAGGCCAGCCACCTGTTTCTGCTGCTGAAGTCATAATATAAATATAGAGCCTCTAGGCAGAAACATTTTTTGAAGTTTAAAATGTACAGGGCAGTTGGAACCTACCCTTTTGAGGGGCTCCTGGGCATGTGAGGTCCTTCCATTAGGTGAGTCACTGAGACTGTAAATCCACAGCACCTTGCCCTTAGATTTTCAGATCTCAACAGTAAGTCACAAATTTTTACAAATTTGTGCTCAGTATCATGCCCTCTTTCTCCCAGTTTATACCATGCCCATTACCTTTTTTTCAATACTGTACCTCAAATATCCCAACTTTTTTCAACACTTTCATTCAGAATAGAATAGTTTTTCATTTTTCTCAGACATCTTCATCCTATTCACGTTTTCCATGACCTTATTTAGCCATACTGATGTATTGAAAGTTACTGGTAGTACTAACAAAAATTAGCCACATTTTGTCACCCAACACACTAAACTTTTTGTTGCTAAAGATTTGGGTGCTTGTCTAAGTAGATTTGCTCTTAATTTGTTAGCTTGAAATATATGCAATAGAAAGGGGGATGTGTAAACTTCTTATAAGTTGTTTTTAGGGAGATTGCAGCTCATTATGAATGTAAAGTTACCACTAATCAGTTTGATGTAAATGGCTCCAGAAAAAAGTTAAGTGGACAGAAAAAAAGTCTTAGAAAAGAGTACAGTGTTATTGCCACAGTTATTAAGTAATGATTAGTTGTGATAGAGGCAGAAAATTCGTTGGTGGGGAGAAAAATTCCTGAATCCTCTGTGAACAGCTTTTCATGCAGATGGTTAGACCCAGAGTTACAAAATGGGTAAAAGGATCCAGGTGTTGAAGACTTTGCATATTAGTAATAAGAATGGCATTGGACAGATCCTAGTTTGAATTAATAGTACTTACTTTTTGTATAAACTTGGATGTAAAACTTGGATACTGAAAATTCTCTGCACTTCGTCTATAAAATGTACCTAATAGTTTCAAGTATCTCACAGTTTTCAGGACTAAATTACATATTTAATATGTGTAAAACATTTAATATATGACTGACAAGTACCAAGGGCAGGCTTAAAGCCTAAATATGTGGGGGCAGGTCTGGCACCAGGGATGGGGGGGTGAGGCTGAACCTCTGCAGCCCAGGGGGTCAATTTGACAGTGGGGCAGGCCTAGTCATTGAGTTTTTAGAGCAGGCCTGGAACCTGGGGCTGTGGGATCCAGACTAGTGCTAAAGCAGACCTGGAGGCTTGGTCTGCAGGTACTGACCTAGAGTCTGGGACCATGGGGGCCTGTCCAGTGCTGGGTATTACTGGGATAGGCCTAGTGTTGGGATCCAAGAAAAAGTCTGGTGTTCACTTCCCTCTCCTTCCCCAAGTGAATGGTAGCTCCAAGCTCTGCAGCGTGGGGTTCAGGAAGGGGTGATGTGGGTAATGTAAAACTATCCTTCCTATCCTTTTCAATGTATTTTTTCTTATTTCTATTCTATACCCAGGTGCTATAATCTGGCAACTGTTTTCTTTAGCTCTTGTGAAAGTATTTTTGTGCCCAGATAGTTGTTCAAATTGATGTTTCTGTGGGAGGTTGAGTGCAGGAAAGTCCTGTTCTGCCATTTTGCTGATATCTAGCTCCTCACATCTCAATTAATTATTAAAAAGGCAGGAGAAAAGGGTAAAAAGGATCAATAAAAAGATGGAACATCTGCAAACAAATAGCAAAATACTAGTTTTAAATCCAACTGTATTACTCATTACATCAAATACTAATTTCCTAAGCATGCCACCTAAAAAAAGAGAGTGTAGTGGTTGATTTTGGGTGTCAGCTTGACTAGATTAAGGGTTACTCAGATAGCTGATAAAGCATTATTTATTCTCAGTGCTTCAGTGGGGACTGAGCCAGTCTCTCTCCTGCTCAAGGGGAAACCTAGGTGATTTTGCTTTTTATTAAAATGATTGGGCCTCTTCAGGTGTCTCTGTGAGGGTATTTCCAGAGGGGATTTACATGTGAGTTGGGGGAAGATCTGCCTTCAAGGTGGCTGGGCACCATCTAATCAGCTAAAGGAGCAAATGGAACAAAAAGGTGGAGGAAAGGTGAATTTTCACCATTTCTCTACTGGAGCCAGGACAATCTTCTTCTCCTGCCCTTGGACACCATAACTCCAGGTTCTGTGGCCTTTCGACTCCAGGAACCACACCAGCAGCCACCCCCTGCCACCCTTACCACACACCTCACCTGGGGCTCTCAGGCCTTTGGCCTCAAACTGATAATTACACCATTGGATTCCTTGGTTCTGAGGTCTTCAGAATTGGATTGAGCCACATTATCAGCTTTACTCATTCTCCAGCTTGCAGACAGTCTATTGTAGGACTTCTCTGCCTCCACAATCAAGTAAGCCAATTCCCCTAATACATCCCTTTTCATATATTTCCTTATATATTCTATCAGTTCTGTCTTTCTGAAAAACACTGACTAAAAGAGAGATTGACAGATTGAGTAAAAATGCCAAACCACTTCTTTACTTTTTATAAGAAACATGTTTTCTTTTTTTTTTAACTTTTATTTTAGGTCCATCAGTACACATGCAGGTTTTTTATATAGATAAATTGCATGTCACAGGAGTTTGGTGTATAGATTGTTTCATCACCCAGGTTAATAAGCATAGTACCAGATAGGTAGTTTTTCCATCCTCACCCTCTTCTCACTCTCCACCCTCAAGTAGGCCCTAGTGTCTGTTGTTCCTTTCTTTGTGTTCATATGTATTCAATGTTTAACTCCTACTTAGAAGCAAGAATGTGTGGTATTTGGTTTTCTGGAGAAACACTTAAAGACATATATTGGTTAATAGTAAAAGAATGAAAAATGAAATAGTATGAAAACATGAATCATAAGAAAGATGGAATGGTTAGATTAATGTGAGCACAGTAGATTTCAGAGCAAGAAATGTCCATGGACAGATGAATGAATAAATGAAGTGTGGTATATACATACAATGGGATATTAAAAGTCTTAAAAAGGAAATAAATTCTGATACATCCTACAACATAGACAAATCTTGAAGACATTATGTTCAGTGAAATAAGCCAGACAGAAAAGGATTGATATTTTATGTTTCCACTTATATGAAGTACCTAGAGTAGTCAAATTCATAGAGACAGAAAGTAGAACAGTGGTTGCCAGAAGCTGGGGGAAGCAAAAAGTGGGGGGTTATCATTTAATGGGTATAGAGTTTCAGCTTGGGAATGTGAAAAAGTTCTGGAGATGGATAGTAGTGATGGTTGCACAACAATGTGAATGTACTTAATCCATTAAACCATACACTTAAAAATGGCTAAAATGGTAAATTTTAAGTTATGTATGTTTTACCATAATAAAAACATATTTTATAAAAATGAATGGGAAACCTTTGGATTAAAAGAGAATTAAGAGACATATCAAGCAAGGGCAAAGTGTGTTGAACCTTCACTGAAACAAATGCAACAAAAGAAACCATGATAATTTATGGGACAAATGAAAATTTGAACACTGAATAGATATTCGATATTAAGGAGTTATTTTTAGGTGTAATAATGATATTGTGGCTAAATTTAAAAAGACTTCATATTTTAGATATACATACTGATATATCAACAGATGAAAATATATGCTGTCTGGAATTTCCTTTGAAATAATATGGTAGGAAAGGAGTGGGTGGGAATAAAAACAGGTTTATCATAAATTGAAAATTGTTATAGCATAAAGGTGGATACACTCAGGTTTTGTTTTATTTTTCTAAACTACTTTTGAATATATTTCAGATATAACTCACAAAGAACTAGTATCCAGAAAAAAATGTTCTGATGGGAGTGTAAATGATGCAATCACTTTCAAAGCATTTTGGCATTATCTATTAAAGGTGAAGATACGGATACTTATAACCTAGTAATCCACCTTCTAATAAATACCCATCAGAGATGTATTTGAATGTTAATGGAAATATTATTTGTAGATAACCAAAAATTGGAAAATAATATCCATAAAGATGAGAATGAATAAACATGTTACATTCATGCAGTGATACAGTAAATGGAAATAAGAATGAAATAGATCTATACAAAAAACATGGATGTGCTTAACTGACATAATTTGAGTAGTACAAAGGCCAAAAGCAGTATGATTAAATTTACATAAAGTTAAACTGCAAGCAAAAGTAAATGGTTGGAAGGGCATTCATAGGTGGTAAAACTCTAAAGAAGAACAAGGAAATAATAACCGTAAATGTTAGGAAATAATTACTGTAATGGTTACCTCTGGGAAGAAGGCAGTATTTTGTAATTAGTAAAAAAATCACCCGAGGGGTTACAGGTGCTTGCAAAGTTCTATTTCTTGACCTGAGTTTGGTTGTATGTTACCTGGATGTTTATTTTATAATTATTTGTTTATGATTAATGCACTTTTTAATAGATGTGTTATAGTTCACAATTTA